TTCTGCTCTTTCTCCGCGGTACCTCTTGCTCCTTCGGTGCGGAGAGCGTCGGGTTGTTCCCTCCCTCTTGGCCGCTGGCACGCTTCCGACTTTCGATCTCACGTTTTGGGGCTCCAGCGGGTGGAAGCCTGGGAGCAGAACAAGAGTTCCTCTGCGTAGGTGCAGAGTGCCGTTTGACTCATGGCTGAGGGGATGACGGGAGAAGAATAGGTGTCTAGAAAGTGGGGTCTTGTGATTTAAATCCCATTTGCATTCCTTCTGTGTTTCTTTATATCAGTGGTTCCCAGTCTTGCATCACTCAGGTGTTCTTGGACTGCAACTCCCAGAAGCCTTCACAGCCTGCTGGGGTTTCTGGGGGCTGCAGTCCAAGAACACCTGAGTGACCCAGGGTTAGAACTACTATTTTAATATAAATTATTTTGCACATAATTGAGATATGGGCCTCCCCCGCCATGTTAGAGTTTTACATAAAGTGCCAGGTTTTTTGTCATTAAATATGGCAAGGAGCCCACAAAATCACTCAACATTGTGAAGAAAAAAGGAGGTAGTCTTCAAGGGAAAGGACCACAGTAGGGCATGTGTTTGGCCTGCAAAAGGTTCCAAGTACAAGTCTTGGCATGTCCTGGAAACCCACTGCCAGTTAATTTAACCCATGAATGGACAACCTTCAGGCTTGCAAGATCTATCATGTTCTTGAGTTGTGGAATCTATGCTCCAGAGCCTGGATGCACAATTAAAATCCATTTCTGGCCAGCACTTTGTTTTGAGTACTGTCTCTTCTGCACGTTAACCAATAACAGTGTCTCCTGGTCAGCCAAAGTTTTCTTCATTTTACAGTACTAGCTTTTACAGTACAGCCGCCTAGAGTGGTCCTGAGTTGACAAAGTTTTCTTCATTTTACAGTACTAGCTTAACTTAAGGTGAGAGCAGAGTCATCTTGTTGCTGCTTTTGTAAAAACTGGTGCATGAGAAGTCATTGCTGATCTACCAGTAGCCAACCAATAACTCTTCTGAATTGTTAATAGGACAGCTTTAGGAATTGCATGTTATTATCTAGTAATTCACAAGAAATAAATATGAATTAGTAACAGCAGTAATTTTATATATGTATTAACTTAAGGTGAGAGCAGAGTCATCTTGTTGCTGCTTTTGTAAAAACTGGTGCATGAGAAGTCATTGCTGATCTACCAGTAGCCAACCAATAACTCTTCTGAATTGTTAATAGGACAGCTTTAGGAATTGCATGTTATTATCTAGTAATTCACAAGAAATAAATATGAATTAGTAACAGCAGTAATTTTATATATGTATTTAATTAATTAAAACCCTACCCATCTAGATCAAAGTCTACTCTGGGTGGCTAACAGTAATTCAAACAATAATATTAAATAAAACAACAGCATTAATGTAATTGAAGATGGCAATAAATAAATTAGGTATTGACAGGAGGGAAGGCCTGCCTAAAGAGCCAGGTCTTGAGTTTGCTCTTAAAAAAGGGAGCCAGACAAATCTCTGGGGGGAGATTGTTCCAGAGGCGAGGGGCCACTGCCAAGAAGGCCCAATTTCTTGGTCTAGGGAGCCAGACAAATCTCGGGGGGGAGATTGTTCCAGAGGCGAGGGGCCACTGCCAAGAAGGCCCAATTTCTTGGTCTTTCTCTCCGGGCCTCCCTCGGCGTTAGGCCCCTCAGCCACCCATCCTGGCTAAAGCAAGTGATTCGGGTATATCTAGGTGGGAGAAGGTGTTCCGCTAGGTATTGAGATCCTAAACCGTTTATGACTTTATATGTCATCATTAATACTTTGAAATCAATGTGGAAATGAACGGGCAGCCAGAGTAGGGGAGATATGTTGATGGTATCTCACCCCAGTAAGAAGTCTGGTTGCTACGTTCTGCACCATTTGAAGCTTCCACATCAATCTCAAAGGTAGCCCTACATAGAGCACATAACAATAGTCTAATCTCAAGACTATAAGTGCATGGACCAGAGTGTTGAGCGCCCCAACATCAAGATAGGAACACAGCTGGTCAAACTGCCAGAGATAGAAGTAGGCGGTGCGGACCACTGACGCTACCTGAGTTTCCATGGTAAGCGCTGGATCCAGATGGACCCCCAAGCTCTTTGTAGTGAGAGTTACCCCCCAAAAGAGAGGGAGTTTACCAAAGCACCAATGGTGGGGCCACCCACCCTTAAGACCTCTGTCTTGTCCAGATTCAGCCTCAGTCCATTCACCTGCATCTATTGCAATACATTGCATTACTTTTTAAAGTAAAAACGAGTCCTGTTGTTAAGGGTTGCAGCCTGTGCTTGATGAGGTTGCACTCTTTCTGAAAACAGAGGTGCACAGCTTGCGGATGCTCCTGGGTTCATCTCTGAGACTAGATGCCCAGTTTACGGCAGCCACCAGGAGTTTATTTGCACAATTAAAACTAGTGTGCCAACTGCAGGTCTGATCTAGCTGTAGTGACACATGCATCTCCTCTGGATTACTGTAACACACTTTATCTGGGGCTGCTCCTTAAAGTGTCAGGAAACTTCAGTGGGTTCAAAACGTGGCAGCCAGATTACTAACAGGCTGGTCACAGTGATCACATAACACCCCCTTTTACAGCAGCTGCAATGGCCAATCTTTCTGGGCACAATTTCACGTACTGGTTCTAACCTATAAAGTCCTTTCTATTCAGGCAAGCTTTCCCGCAGTGATTGGCTGCCTGAGCGGGATTGTTAGATGGATTATTATGCCTTACTGCTTTGAATGTGTTTTTGGTGGGGTTTTTTATTTACCATGTTAAAGTGTAGTATTTTACTCTTTCTGGTATTTGTACACTTAGTGCTTTTAGCTTTAAATATTATCTTTTAATTTGTAAGCTGTCTTGGGTTCTTTTTAAGAAAAAAGGCAGGGTAAAATATTTTAAATATGTAAGCTGTCTTGGGTCCTTTTTAAGAATAAAGTCAGGGTAAAATATTTTAAATAAATAAATACATAACAAATGTTTGTTATTTTACTATTTATGTTACAAAGCACTAAAAAATGAGAAAAGCAAAATAAATGTTTTTTCCTCAATAAGTTTGTCGGGGGAGAGCTCATGGTTACCTGCTTGTTGGCAAGTCTACCTTCAAAGCTTTCTCTTGGGTCCTTTTTAAGAATAAAGTCAGGGTAAAATATTTTAAATAAATAAATACATAACAAATGTTTGTTATTTTACTATTTATGTTACAAAGCACTAAAAAATGAGAAAAGCAAAATAAATGTTTTTTCCTCAATAAGTTTGTCGGGGGAGAGCTCATGGTTACCTGCTTGTTGGCAAGTCTACCTTCAAAGCTTTCAGCATGTGCCAGCTGCCATGTGACAATAGTGCATCGCTGGTGAGGTAGGTGAGCAGAATGTGCCCCTTGTTGGATTCCAAGGGAACCACAGAGAATGCCTGTTAATGCCAAGGCTCCAGCGCCAGTTGTTCTGCAGTTGCTATAGCTTCAGTAGGCCGCTCGTAGTATCCTGTCAGCAGCGTCTCACATCCCATCAGATAAAAAAATTAAAAAATCCATGCCATTGTTTCACCAATTCTGGCTTAGGCATTTGCTGTTGCATGCCAGATTTTATGATTTGGTTCACAGCAGCAAATCACTATCCCAATTTCTTAATTTGTAACAGTTTGCCAACAAGATTTATCTTAATTGCATTATGGCAGCATTAAAACTTGATAGAATTTTGACAATTATATCTGAGCTCCCATCCAGTACATCTATATAAGTTCCTCCCACTTCATGTAGTATTGACACTTCAATATTTGAATTCTGCTGACAAGGTTTGGCCAGGTTTCTCCTGCTATCACATCAGTACACCAGCAGTGCTTCCCCAGTACTGAAAAGTATAGTTTGTATTTCTCGGTGGTAGGTCTAATATGTGGCTGACTGCAATTTTTTCCTTCAGCTTTAATCCTAATTCTGTTGCTGAAATTGCCATAGCCATTTGCCACACTTTCTTGATAGCTTTGTTAAATCCTTACACACTGCCTTTGTTTTGATACATTCCACCACAAATCTGAAACAGTTCCGTTTGTGACTAATGTGATTTTCATCTCTCTGTCCTAATTTGTGATTTGTTCCTTATTTAGGTGTCTGTGTGCATCTCTTTGGGAGTTAAACATGGAGCAAGGAATGGAATACATGAAACAGCCTGCAACTCATAGCCAGGGGAACATGTGAGCATTGATTTTTTAATTGATTTATTTATTAGATTTTTAATAAACTATTCTGGACAGTTGCAAATACAAAAGGACCCAAACCCCCTTCCTATCAAACAGAGATTCTGAAAGCAATCTGAAAAGAAATGCCTGGTGGCAACAGCAACCAATTAAAACACACACGCACACAAAACATAACAAATGATCATAAAGAGAGGGCATCCTGAAAAGATTCTCTGAAAAGTTGTGTTTTTACTAGCTTTTGGGAAATTATAAGGGGCCTGGCACAGATGTGGTCAGGTGTAAATTTGCATAGTTAAAACTCTTGTACCAGTTGTGCTCCTTCCTGGAGATGTCTGATCAGGCCACAGTGAGAGATGCCATAGTCATATCCCAATTGGATTGGTATTATGTGCTCCACATAGGGCTGCCTTTGGGAAGTGTTTGAAAACTTTAGAGGCTCCAAAATATTACTGCCAGATTGTTAACAGGAGCTATTTGTTGGGATCACATAACTCCCCTGCTGTAATAGCTCTGTTGGGGGGCACAATTCAGATGGCTGGTTCTGGCCTATAAAGCCCTAAACAGCTTGGGCCCAAGCTATCTCAAGAACCGTGTCTCCCTTTATGGGCCTGTCCATATAGTAGTTTAAAACCATCAGGGGAGGCTTGTCTCTCAGTCTCATCACCCTCCCAGGTGTGTTTGGAGGGGACATGAGAAAATGCCTACCTGTGTTTTGGGAACCTGCCTGTGTCACTGCTCCCAAACTACAGAACTCACCTCCATGGGAGGCCAGGCTGCACCCCATTTTTTACCCTTCCACAAGCAACCAAAATTTTTTCTCTTAAGATAGGTTTTTCTCACCAACTGTTCGCCCTTTAGGGTAGGGATTGAAAATGGAGCTTTGCCAGGTCAGAAAATCTGATGCCTGAATCTCTTTCTAAGAACTCTAGACCTGTGTTTGTCACAGCTGGCTTTTATCCCATAAAATGGTTAATTCCAGAATGAATCAGACAGTCACTTCCAATCACATCAAAATTCACCTTAAATATCCAGGTATGTCTTTTCATTGGTGCAATAATCCCAGGCAATATCAGCTTGTCAAATTCTACCAACTTTATTTATCTACTTTGCTTCTTTGTTCTGTAAGCACAAAAATACTCTGCAGTTGTTGATAAAGAATACTTTACTTAAATTCTAAAAATGCAAGAGCTTATAGCCTTAAAAGACACATTGAAAAATATGAGAATACATCACTTAAAATATTAAAGTTCTCAAAAGTAAGAATATACTTTAAAAATGTGTCTTAGCCTCTAAGCATACTAAGAACACACACAGAAAATTACTGTCAGTGCTCACCCAGCTAAGTCAGTTTCAATCTATAAAGGAAAAGCCATGTTCTCTTCATCAGCTGCTACATAAGTGTTGTTGATATCTGGTGCGTGTGGTGTGGCGTGGCATATTGTCTTCCATTGTGCTGATAAGTGTGTCTCCTATCCTCTATTTATATTTCTTTTAGTTGTTTTCTACTTTTTAGTTGGTTACAAAATGTCACAGCTGCTGTTTTGTTTTAAGTTTTCTGTGTTATTTATTTTAATATTGTAAGCCATCTTGGGTCTTCTGTTTTGTTTTAAGTTTTTTAATTTTAATATTGTAAGCCATCTTGGGTCTTCTTGAGGAAGAAAGATGGTGTTTAAATATTCTAAATAAATGAATAAGTAAGTAAGATAAGAAAGAGATAAACATATAAAGGGAATGCATGTTCAAAAGTACTTGTATATCATCCTCTTCCTGCATGTAAAAAGCTAAGCTGTCAGCCAGGAATTTTAGGCCTGAACCTTTGCCCATTATATATTCTTTTTCCATCGCAGAAAGAGATCCTGCCATTCAGGGGCACTTGCTGTCAAACAATTTTTCCTTTTTGACTTCAATTCAGTGCTATATGTTTTATGCATCCCTTCTTGGTTGTATTGGATTCGAGTTAATAAATGTCCTTCTCTTGTGTTTTCAGATGGGTGGGAATCTCAAATTATTAGAATGATCATATTATCAAAATTAGCAATATCAAAAACAAAAAAGGCTCCAATAGCACACACATTTGTGCACTGTAACCTGCTATTTCAGAGGCACCTACAAAATTGTTGTACTTTATGCAAAATATCTACAGATTTTTAAAATGCCACAACATATCTAGCTGTCAGATTATTACTAGTATTTGTGTCAAAGCACTCAGAAGTGCCAAATTATTATCTTGTTCTTTAACTTGCTGGAGATGGTTCACTGAGTTGATTTAGCAGCCATTTGAACAACTTGTCCCTGACTGTGAAATTTTACTGTTATTCAGAGAAGAATCACAACACTTAAATCAGTGCTTGTGTTATGTGTATGTATATATTAGAGTTTAAAAATTTTTTGCACTGTATTGTTTGTGGCTATTTTAAAATTTGCTTTCTGTTGTACCTTTTCATTAAGAAAAGCGTTTTAAGTGTAATTTTGTTTCCTTCATTGCAGCCTGTGTTGCCAATGTGGCATTGCAATCCCACCAAACCCAGCCAACATGTGTGTATTTTGTTTACGGACTCAGGTGGATATTACAGAAGGAATCCCTAAGCAAGTCACTGTGCATTTTTGCAAACAATGCGAGAGGTAACAACTATGTCCTATATCTTAAGATATCTGTATCTGGCACAGCAGAACTTTCTTTAATGTTCTAATGCAAATATCAGAACATTTTTTTAAAAAAAAATCCCATCAGAGTTGGAGGGGGTTGCTCCTTACAGATTTAACTTAGATTCTGTAATATTTTTGTTTGCTTATTCAGAGTTCAGGTTCCTGTATCCAACCAGCTGCATACTGATGTGGCTTCCTATTCACAATATCCATATCTAATGGATAACAAAGAATTAAAAATGTTTTACTGCAGCTATTTTTTTCAAGGAGCATTTAGCTATGGCAGATAGTAAATCATCTTCACTTGGGACATTCTCCTTGGCTGGGCGGGGGGGAGAGCATGTTCCAGTAATCATGAGAATCCTGTGATGTATATGTACATAAAATGTATTATAGTTTGTTTCCATTGTTTTAATGTAGTCAGTAATTGCTTGACCCAGTCTACCAACCACTTATATACTTGCCTCAGTTAATAAGATTGTTGAATTCTTAGTCATTACCTCTTACACCATAAGATTACAATGGTTGCCTTATATATAAAAAATATAGTTACCCCATGCTTTGACTGAAATTTGTTAACTTAATCTAACCTGTAAATATTACTACAGATATCAAGAGTTGATTAACTATATGTAGCACAGTTTACTTGGAGTAACTGTGTATTTGGGCGTCATGCTGAACGTGACCTGTAGTTCTGTGTTGACAGGCTATCATTAACTTTTAGCAGATGCCCTGTAACCTCTAATAAGTTGTTGACTTTCAGTTTCCTGTAGGGAGACATGAGTATTGATTCGTGGTCCAGTAATAAAGGGGTGAATGCAAGTCTTAAACTAAAGACTTTTTCCATGTGTCCAGATTTCAAAATGTTTCAGTGCTCACTTCTGTTGTGCATTTACACAATTAGGTTAATACAGTTGGACTTCCATATCCGCTGGGGGTTGGTTCCAAGTCCTCCCCCCATAGATACTGAAAACTCTGGATAATAGCAAGCACGAACTTCCATATCTGCTGGGAGTTGGTTCCAAGTCCTCCCCCATAGATACTGAAAACTGTGGATAATAGCAAGCACTATTAGCAAAACAAACAAACAAAAAAAAACAAAGGGAGCTGCTTATATACCGCCCCATAGTGCTTCAAGCACTCTCTGGGTGGTTTACAAGTTAATTATGCAGGCTACACATTGCCCCCCCCCCAGGAAGCTGGGTACTCATTTTACCGACCTCAGAAGGATAGAAGGCTGAGTCAACCTTGAGCCAGCTACCTGGGATTTGAACCCCAGGTCGTGAGCACAGTTTTAGCTGCAGTACAGCGGTTTAACCACTGCGCCATGAGGCTCCTGTGGATAATAGGAAAAAAAAACTGAATAATAGTAAACACTATAAGGTAAAGGTTCCCCTTGACAAAAAAAACTGGATAATAGCAAACACTATAAAGTAAAGGTTCCCCTTGACATTTAGTCCAGTCGTGTCCGACTCTAGGGGCAGTGCTCATCCCTGTTTCCAAGCTGTAGAGCCAGTGTTTTGTCCGTAGATAGTTTCCGTGGTCACGTGGCCAGTGTAACTAGACACGGAATGCAGTTACCTTCTCACCATGGTGGTACCTATTTATCTAGTTGCATTTGCATGCAACTGCTAGGTTGGCAGGCGTGAGCACTATTACTATTGTGCTATCATTAACAAGTATGCATAGCATGGTTTCTGGCTCCCTTTAGATCTCTAGAGGTCTCCAAGAGTCTCTAAACTTTTCATACGGAGGGCTACATAATATATTTTTGAGGGCTGAAATAGCATGCGCGTGCTCATCCTCATGCACGTATTCCCACACACACTCCCTCCCTCCCATCCGCACGTACACACACACTCCTGCCTACCTGCACACATGCCTGCACGGGCCAGATAAAAAGGCCAGGCAGGCCAGATGTGGCCCACGGGCCATACTTTAGAGACTCTTGCTCTAGATCAGACCTGGGCAAAGTGCGGCCCGCGGGCCACATACAGACCGTGAGCCACTCCTGTCCGGCGCGCCAGTCGTCACTCCTGTCCGGCCCGATACCACAAAAAACCTCTTTAGTATTTCTGAAGATTAACAAGTTTAAAATAAAAACAATCATAACATCACTGTTTCATTTTAAAGTAAAAACAATCATAAAATCACTGTTTCATTTTATTTTTAAGTAAAGTTGGTTCGGCCGCCGAACACAGTTCAGATTTTTCATATCCCTCCATAGAAATTAATTGCCCACCTCTCCTCTAGATGCTAGTTCTGATCATGTGAAAATAGCGTTTTTTTCTGGATTTTTTTCTTTTAATATTTTTAGACCATGGATAAGTGAATCAGTGGATACTGATCCTATGCATAAGGGGGTCCTACTGTAGTTTTATATGTGTACCTCAAGTTATACATTCACATATGTACTTTTTCTTCAGTTGTTTGACCACTGGTGTAGAATTGTGTGAATAAAACACAGTGAAGTTTTCTGAGAAAACGTGAGTTATTGATTACTGATGAACTAAATGTTATCTGGTTCTAGAATGCTATGAACTGATCTAAACTGGTAGGTGAGAGCAACTGTGCATCTCCCAGTTCCTAATCAGAACCAGTATAGCCAATAGTAAGAGATCATGGAGGTTGCAATTGAAAAACATTTGAAAAGCTCCAATTGTCTCCTGTTCTAGTCCCATTGAAATCAATTGAGCAAATTAGTCCTAACAGAAGTTACGTTGATTTTAATGGCTAACCAAGTCTATAGTGATGGTGCCATTATTAATGTGTGTGTGTTTCATTCTTTTAATATTTCAGGTACCTTCAGCCACCAGGAACTTGGCTACAGTGTGCCTTGGAATCAAGGGAACTTTTGACATTGTGCCTTAAAAAAATCAAAGCTTCTCTTAGTAAGGTTAGTGTACCTTTGCATCATTACATAAAATTTAGGTGGACTAGTATCTTTGTAAACCTGAAAAGGCTGCAAGAATTAATGTAATTCTAAGAACTGCATTACTAATAATGTATCTACACAGTGTGATGGCATTAACCAAATGTTGGAACCCTTGAACCTATTTACTGCCATTTCTTGCCCTTTGGAAATATGTATGATAATCATACATTCATCCTGTTTCCTCCTGACAGGTACATTTGATTGATGCAGGATTTGTATGGACTGAACCACATTCCAAAAGACTTAAAGTAAAACTGACTGTTCAAAAAGAGGCAAGCAAGCTTAAGAATAATTTTTTGGGAATTTTTTTATTGTAGAAATACAGAAATGTATAATAAAGCTGTGTCATGTTAACATTTGCTAGAAATCAGACATGCTCTTGTTTGTTACTTGCTGACTTTTAATGTACTTTTGGGAGAGGGGTTTTTTTTTAAGTTTCAGATTTTCCATTAATATAAGTAGGACTTGATTTTTAAAAACAATGAGTCTAGAATATACTGTATGTTAGTGTCATGTAGGGATTACTGGACACTTATTGAAATCTTGTTTCTCAGTTTTGGATGCAAATAATTGCTGATTAAAGCACTTTTGGGGGTGCATGTGACTTATACACAATGCAACAAATTGCCTTTTGTTTTCCAAAATTGTCTTTAGTAAACAGTGACATGCTGCTGAGGTGCACAGTAGGATTTCAGCCAGTGAAGTATAAGGACTCATTCCTTGGGATGGAGGGCTAGGCTCAGTTATCTCTGTATTCCTTCTCTCTCCATAATTCTGCTGCATAGTACAATCACAAGATCGCACAATGTAAACATTTTGTAAGTTGCACACAAAAGTTCAAAGTATTGCTCTCAGATTAGCTGTTAGTTGTATCCTTTTTTAATGTCTCCTAATTTTTTTAATAAAAATATTTTCTGGAAGGAAAAGGGCTACAGAGAAATAGCTTCTCGTGGTCTGAGAAGCTGACTTAATCATGTATCTTTAGTAGAGGAGACAGATCTCATATTTGACTTTCTTCCCTAGGTGGTGAATGGTGCAATTCTTCAACAAGTGTTTATAGTAGAGTACATTGTTCAGTCTCAGATGTGTGATGATTGCCATCGAGTTGAAGCAAAGGACTTCTGGAAAGCAGTAGTTCAGGTTAGACAGAAGGTATGTGTAAGAGAGATGCATGTTGTCAAAAAGAACACTCTTCCAACTGATAAATGTTAACTGCAAAAAAATTGCATTAGACCCATGCAATAGACAAGCCACACCCATGCGGGGTGACACTGTTTGTATAATCGTAGTGTGAGGATTGCATTTTTAAAAGTAGCAAATGCAATTTTAACCATTGTGTGCTCATTTAGGCAATTTTTGTACTGCTCCGTGAGCTGAACCCTGTTTGTTTCTTCTGCTTACAGAACTGTCAGTTGTGTGAGCAGTTGAACAGCTGAACCCTGTTTGGTTCTTCTGCTGCAGAACTGTCAGTTGTGTGAGCAGTTGAACCGTTTCCTGAGCATGTGCAACAATGTATCTAGTAACACTTCCTTGTGTAAGTTTAGAAACTATCCAGCTACCTAGACAACAGATGTTTGCACAGTGGAAAGAATGAAAAAGGATGCTGCCCCTGCAGTTAACTAATATTAAAGATTTCACACAATTGTTGTGAACTATAGACCAGAAGTGGAAATCCTTAGTTTTTGGACTATAGTTCTTAGGATATACAATTGGCCTTTGTTGCTAACCTTTCATGTCAAGGGTATTCTGAAAATTGTGATTCCAAAAACAACTTTTTTCACCTTTCCATGAGCTGCCTCAGTGTTTTTCTAAGAACATAAGAAGAGCCCTGCTGGATCAGGCCAAGGACCCATCTAGTTCAGTTTCCTGTGTCTCACAGTGACCACACCAAATGCCTCTGGCAGCACATGAGACAACTAGATACCTGTCTCCTGCATCTAGCATTTTGAGGTGCCTTCTTTTAAGCCTGGAGATTCTACATCCCCGTCACGGCTTGTAACCTGTGATGGACTTTTCCTCCAGGAATCTGTTCAATCCCCCTTTAAAGGTATCTAGGCCAGATGCCATCACCACATCCTGTGGCAAGGTGTTCCACATACTAACAACTTGCTGGGTAAAGAACTAAAGTAGTGCCCTGCATAGCGACGTTAATGCGTTCCAGGATTAACGTCGCTATCCGGAAACATCGCTAAAGGAACTGAAAACCCCATAGGAACGCATTAAACTCTGTTTAATGCGTTCCTATGGGGCGAAAACTCACCGGTAGGCGAAGATTCCCCACCCGGCCATCGTGTTCGCCGCCTCGGTAAGCGAGGTCAGGGTGCGAAAACTGAGCGGGCGGCCATTTTGGAACTGCCGATCAGCTGTTTCCCTAACATCGCAATGCGAAGATCGGTAAGCGAAATGCTTACCAATTATTGCAATGCGATTTTTGGCCTATCTAAACATCACAATGCGATCGCATTAGCGATCGCAAAAAACGTGTCCCTATGCGGATTCGTCATTAAACGGTGCTCTCATTAAGCGAGGCACCACTGTACTGAATTCCAGTAAGTTAAGAGATGCAGGTCCAAGCACATGTCCTATAAATTAAGTCTCAGTGAATTAAGTAAAACTTGATATTTAAGTAAATATGTTTACTTTTGTGATACAGATCAATGGCTGAAATCTTATTGGTGTTCACATAATGTTTTTGTAGCTTGCCATAGCTAATTGACAGAAAACTGGGATGTGTAGTCAGAGATGTGAACAAACATGTAATTATGATGTGCCCCTGCACCTCAACAGCCAGAGTCACAGTTATCCATCCAAGGTTATTCAGATTTTATGAGAACACTAGTAGGATCCTGAACATAACTACGTATTTCTGCTTCACTAGACTGGAAGGATCTGTGGACTATTTGGTCTTGGCATCCGTGTAGATTAACTACATATTATAGTGCCTTAGATGCCTTTGCTGGAATACAAATATTTCTTCTGCAGATAAATCTTGTTTTTCAAATTTTAGACGATTCATAAAAAGACTTTCTACTATTTGGAACAATTGATTTTAAAGCACAGACTTCACCAGAATACTCTACGGATAAAGGAGATTCATGGTGAGTTGTGTTTTTCATAATCTTTATGCATAGTTTGACTCCTTTAAGTCATTGCTAGATTAAATCAGGCCTGATCTGTCTAGAAGCAAAAATTACTACATTGAGAAAACCATACTTCGACCACATCATGAGATGTTAGGACACACTGGGGGAAAAACTGATAATGCTGGTAAAGATTGAGGCAATCCTTCGGCTGCAATATTGCAGTTTAACCACTGCCCCACAGGCCCCTTGTTTAATAGAATAATTTTTAAAACCTTAATATTGTTTAGTATTTCAACTAAGATCATGGCCACTGGTCCCATCACCTCCTGGGAAATAGAAGGGGAAGATATGGAGGCAGTGTCAAATTTTATCTTCCTGGGCTCCATGATCACTGCAGATGGAGACAGCAGCCCTGAAATTAAACGACGCCTTCTTCTTGGGAGGAAAGCGATGACAAATCTTGACAGCATCTTGAAAAGCAGAGACATCACCTTGCCAACAAAAGTCCGAATAGTCAAAGCTATGGTTTTTCCTGTAGTGATGCATGGAAGTGAGAGCTGGACCATAAAGAAAGCAGACCGCAGAAGAATTGATGCCTTTGAATTGTGGTGCGGGAGGAGGCTCTTGAGAATCCCCTGGACTGCAAGGAGAACAAACCTATCAATTCTAAAGGAAATCAACCCTGAGTGCTCACTGGAAGGACAGATCCTGAAGCTGAGGCTCCAGTACTTTGGCCATCTAATGAGAAGAAAAGACTCCCTGGAAAAGACCCTGATGTTGGGAAAGTGTGACGGCAAGAGGAGAAGGGGACGACCGAGGATGAGATGGCTGGACAGTGTCTGCGAAGCAACCAACATGAACCTGACACAACTACGGGAGGCAGTAGAAGACAGGAGGGCCTGACGTGCTCTGGTCCATGGGGTCACGAAGAGGCGGACACGACTAAACGACTAAACACACAACACTTCCTTAAAGTGTAGTTAAAGTTTAAAATTTCTCATGAAATCCACAGGCAGAAGATTCTCATGCACATCTGAGAAATTTAAATATTGATCTGGAAACATAGCTTTCCTAACATTTTTTTAAAATGAAAGTTTTGTGGTAAGCAGTCTGTTAGTGATGAGTGGAGTAGCTTACATGAAAAATATCTGAAGATTCTCAGTCATCCAGTGGAGGTTATCTAGAAGCTGAATCATGGCAGTTGGACTTCTTTCTTATTAGGTTGAAACGTTTTGCTATTCATCCAAGTACAGTGGTGCCTCGACTCATGAACGTCCCTGCTTACAACCATTTCAAGTTACGACCAGTTCTAGCCGCAAAATTTTGCTTCGACTTGCGACTGGAGCTTTCACTTATGAACAGAAAAGGGCAGGGAAAAAAGGTGGGACATTGACATTGCAAGGTGGCAGCAAGGCTGCTTCTTTGTAGCTCTTTCGCCCCAGCAGTTAGAGAGTGTACATCTGTTGAATTTTTCCCACATTTCCAATGGGTCTTGGGTTTGGTTGCTTTTTGGGGAGTTCCCCATTTCCAATGAGTCCTGCATGCTTCCCATGCCTTTTCCTTTGTTCTCTGTGCATTTCCAATCTGCTCCGTTTGCATCCTGTGCATTTCCAATGGGTCTTGCGTGCTTGATTGCTTTTCTCCCCCCCCCCCTCGGCCAGAAGGGATTAATCGTGTTTCCAATGAGTCTTGCAGTGATTTTTTGTGTGATTTTTTTTCAGCCGGAATGGATTAATTGCATTTCAGTGCATTCCTATGGGAAATGGTGCTTTGACTTAAGACCATTTCAAGTTTCATCCATCTTCTGGAATGGATTATGGTTGTAAGTGGAGGCACCACTGTTGCTTCTTCAGTCTGAGGAGAGTTGGTAAAAGAGTTGGTTTCACTTCCCCCTGTTCTGAATAGGCTCATTGGAAGGACAAAGGACTAGGGGTGAGGGAAAATCCCACTTCTGCAGTCCTTCTTCACCCGTTGTCATGGGTTGTTAATAGTTGTTAACAGTGGTCTTTCTGTTTCTGGTATGTATGCTCCTGATCTTTCTGGGGATGGATGAAAAAGCAGCATGATAAATAGGAGACAAATTGCATTTTGGACTGAGAATACAAGTGGTTTGAGAGAGGGGTCAGGGATGTCATACATGTGCATATAGAAAACCCTTCACTCTGCAGGGGTGGAGACCTCAAATACAATCTGTCTCCTATTTATCATGCTTAGTAGTGAAACGTTTCCACCTAGTAAGGAAGAAGTCCAATTGCCGTGACTCAACTTCCAGAAAATGTACAAAGACTCTGAAAAACATAATTCCTTGTGTTGATGTTGTTAACCGTCAATTGTCATGACTTTGTTTCTATATACATGCCTTCAGATGGCCTGGATTTCTACTATTCTTCAAAACAGCATGCTCAGAAAATGGTGGACTTTCTTCAGTGTACAGTTCCTTGTAGGTAAGACTCCTTTCTCTTAAAGCATGGCATCCGTCACATAGCTATCTACTTATATAAAATACTTAGTTCCATTGAAACAATTGGAACCAAACCAATTGAATTGAATATCAGATTTCAGGCTCTTCTTGCACCATTGGAATGTATTTACTTTCAGACAACAGCAGTCTTTATGTGATTTATCATACAGAGACTTTCATGTGTCACTTTGTTTTGTGTAGTGCTGCCTGTGAAGTTCTGTTGATTGGGGTACAAATCTAACATACTGGCCAAAATCCTCTTGCATAATAAACACTGGTGTAGGGAAAAATATGTCATAATAGTGGCAGATTACCTGGAATTAGAGTCTCCACTGCAGTTGCTTGTATGTAAATTGGGTGGCTTCATGCATCACCTAGAATCCTGAGACTAGTCTAATTGGATTCTGAGTGGCACACACACCGACCTGACTCATTTGTAATTAGGTGTTGCAATGGGAATTCTTAATTACCAGTGGTTTGTCACTGCTGTGACACCATTTCCCCTACTCCAGCATAAGTTATGCAGGAGGAATCCAGGAACTAGAAGTAGAATAAAATGTGTCATTGGCTTCTCTTCTAAGCCACTGCAGAAGTACAGTTGCTGTTTGGAGGCATTTTCAGGTTCTGCCTTGGCACAGGCTCCTCAGTAAGCCGTATTAGATTTAGCTTGTATACAAAAGAAAGTGAATTAGGGTAAAAAAAACCCTGCTTCACAGATGTCATTAAGACAAAGAAAAGGTTTTGTTTTTTTTTTTTGGTCACATACCCTTTTTTGGTACATTTACAAAATCTAATACGGTTTATTAAGAGCTCTGCTTTTCCATGAATTTAGAAATTCAGTATCATAAGAATTTTGTGGAAGGTATATTATTGTAATAGGAGAGAGGAATATGCAGCAAATGACATATGAGAGATTAATTAAAGTCAGTTGGGCAGATGGAGGAATCCATTTTCAAAACAGTCTGAAGTGCCATGGTATTATCACTTAATTTTATTTTCATTTGTTTGTTTCCTTTTTTGAAAGCCTCCAAATTTACTCGCAGCAAGATGGCTCTAAATGGCAGGACTTTCTGTAAACTTTGCTGTTCTATTGTGAAGGCTGGGAGGGTCTTGCTCTTTGGTATTGCATTCTAGATTCCAGTGATCTTTATGCTTTCTCTGATTTGGATTTGCTATTTTCATTTCAGGTCCAAATCATCCCAGCGTTTGATCTCTCATGACATTCATAGCAATACTTACAATTATAAAAGCACCTTTTCTGTGGAGATTGTACCAATATGCAAGGTACTTTTTGGGACTCTCTCTTTTTAATGAGCAAATGTCTGCATACCTGTCATGTCACCAATGTGTAAAATCACTGCCTTATTATGGGTCAGTTTTGTTTTTTAGCCAGAATGATAGATAATCAGCCACTTGAATTTAATATTAATATACTAAGCCAAAATACACAGAATTTTCTTGGGATTCTTATATCTAATATTAAGCAGCCATTTCCCTATTTTTTTAAGTATGATACTATGTTGAACTATTTGGTAGGAGGAAAAATATATCTGCAAGTGACCTTTGATATAGATTGTGACCGGTGAGTGACTGTTGGAATTCACAAAACATAATGCCTCTGCAAGGGTGACACTGCACGATTTCCACCTTGCAGTTGTGCAAGCCAGAGATTGCCTTATACTTTGGTACCTCGGAAGACGATTACCCTGCAAAACGGGTTTTTTGCTAGACGTTGACTTTTTGTGATTGCTATAGTGATTCGCAAAACGGTTTTTCCTATGGGGGATTTCGCTGGACAATGATTTGGTCCGTGCTTTGCAGACCATTTTTTCGCAAGATGACTATTTTTACAGCTGATTGGCGGCTTCGCAAAATGGCTTCCCTATGGGCGATCTTCGCAAAACGGGTGTTTTCAGGACCGATGCTTCGCAAGACAGCGATTTAAACAGCTGATCTGCGCTTCGAAAAATGGCTTCCCTATGGGCGATTTTCGCTGGACAACGACTATTTTCCCCCATTGGAACGCATTAAACGGGTTTCAGTGCATTCCAGTGGGGAAACACTTTTCGCTAGACTGTTTTCACAAGACAATGATTTCAATGGAATGGATTAACATAGTCTAGCGAGGCACCACTGTACTAGATATTGGGAACTTCCACTTGCATAAGTGGGTATTGGGTACAGTGGTGCCTCAACTTACAATCACAGTCCGTTCCAGAAGATGGACATAACATAAAATGGTCATAAGTCCATGTACCATTTCCCATTGAAATGCATTGGAACGTGATTAATCCGTTCCGGCAAATAAATAAGGTGGTGGGGCTTAAAAAATAAATAAAAAATAAACAGCAAAGCAAGCTCCGTCGTTGGGGCTTTAAGAAGAAGCAAACCAAAATTAAAGCACACAGCAAGCTCCGTCGCTGGGGCTTTAAAAAAAAAAAACCAAAAATAAACAGCAAAGCAAGCCCCGAAGGTGCTGGGACTGCAAAAAACAAAATCAAGCCAAAAATAATGGAGTAAGGCGCTAGGACTGCAAAAAACCCACCGAAAAACAAAACAACAGCACTGAAACATACCCCCACCTAGCCCAAAATCACGCTGCAAAACCCACCCAGAACAGTTTTTAAAAAGCAGAAAATAACGCCTTTCCTTAGCAGGCAGCCTCCGATCACGCACTTTCTTAACTGCTGGGGCAAATTTGCTACAAAGAAGCAGGCTCGTCGCCACCTAGCGCACTTTCTTAACTGCTGGGGGGAATTTGCTACAAAGAAGCAGCCTCGTCGCCACCTAGAGTTAGCAATTTGAATTTCCCACCTTTTTCCCTGCCTTTTTGTGTTTGTAACTGGAACCTCCGGCCGCAGGTCGAAGCAAAATTTTGCAGCTGGAACTGGTCGTAACTCAAAATGGTCTTAAGTAGGGAACGGTCATAAGTCGAGGCACCACCGTATTAATATCCACTTACATGAATGGCAGAAAAGAGGAACTTATGTGCATGTTAAAAGATATAGTATTCCCATAATTGAATTTAAAACACTACCTTTTTGATAGGTTAGCATAATTTTGGAATCTTTAAGAATGTCACTAAATTGATACGTGCTTGTGATATCCTGATCAGCAAATCATTTTTCAGGATTCTGATAGTTTTACTAATAAAAAAATTAAGAATGTGAATTCACAATAGCATGTTATATTTCACTTTTGTTCTCTTTTTGCAGGACAATGTTGTATGTTTGTCCCCAAAACTGGCTCAGAGTCTTGGGAATATGAGCCAGATTTGTGTTTGCATCCGAATAACTAGTGCTATTCACATCATTGATCCTAATACATTGCAAAGTAAGTTTTGGATGTGTTTTCCTTTAAAATGAAATGCTGTAACATTGCTGTTTCTGTAAAAAAAAAAATCTGCTTCAACATTGATTTAAATTATTCCTTAAGGTAATTGTATTAAACAATGAGGTTGCTGTTGCAGTTCCTGTATTCCAGCTCTGAAAGTGTTAGCTTTATGATGTGCTTTGGTGTAGTAAAGCATGAATAGACTGCTGTATAACTTCCTCCTTTAAAAATTGTGCTCTGTTCGTAGCATCTGCCCCAGGTCCATAGTTCTTCTCTGGTTCTTTCAGTTGCAGAAATTGATGGAAACACTTACTGGCGTCATCCGTTTAACAGCTTATTCCATCCAAAGCAATTGGAAGAATTTATTGTAATGGATATCAGCAGAGTCCATGAAAGGAAGCAAAATGCTGGTGCAGGGATGAAGTCCACCAAAGTAAGAATTATTATTATTTTACTACTTGTGCCTCTTCTAAAAGCTTGAGCAGAGCCATCCTGAAATTGTTTAGTTGTGCGGCATCTCATATGAAAACACAACGGCTACCATTAGAGTAAGTTAGTCCATTGGTCCATTAAAGCATATCTCTTTCACTACTGCTGCCTGAGATGCTTTTAAATGGAAAAGCCAGCAATTAAACATGAAATGTTTTGCTTTCAGAGCAGGAACTCTGCCAGTGAACTGTGTTTTCAACCACATATCAAGATGCAAATAAGTCCTTGCTTTCATTTTAGTATAAGAAGCACTTTTCTGAGAGGGAGTTCTGCATTTCAAGTGGTACTTTCAAAGAAAATCATGCTGATCTACATAAAATTCATCTCTTTGTTGGATTGAATCAAGTGTATTTATCGCTCTTAGCTTTTTTTTTGTTTTAATAAAGCTGTATAGAAATTGCTTTTTTTCTCATTTAGAACTATAATTGGAATACATTTATGTAGAAAAACAAATTATTCCATCATTTGCTGCTACTGAAAGGGGAATTCTTATAAGTAAAATTTTTTCCAATACCTTCTTTGTACATATGAAGAAATATGAAAAATTAGTATGATATAATATAAAAATACTGTAGTATATGCAAGTCACTGAAGGTATTTATTCAGTAAAGTGATACTAAAGGTCAAAATGTTGACAGTTTTCTGCATTAAGCTACACTGTGCCAAGCAAAGCTGAGCTTTGTGATGTGTAAATTAAAGGAATATGTATAATGTTTATTACTTTTCCATTTTTAATTTGCTTTGATTAATAATAGCATCACCAAATCAAGTCCACTAGTTTAATACAGCATATAATACACCATGCAGTGCACAGAGGATGAAATTTAGCAGCGTAATTTGCATTGTGCAAGGCTACTGACATCATCAGCCCTGCACAGGATAATTTACACTGCTGGATATCAGCCATTATATTGTTCTCATTATATCTCTGGAGAAGCCACACAATTAATGTATGTGACACCCCATCTATGACTCTGGTGTTTCTAAATGACCACAAAAATTGGACAGTTCAAAAGGGAAAATGAACTGAAAATTTAAAAATCTCTTTAATATTTTTCTTTTGTGTTTTCTAAGCATGCACTTGCTGAAGCTTGGGTTCAGAAGACATCAGAACTGAACACAGACCACCAGTATTTCTGTCGCACTCACTTGGGACATCTGCTGAATCCTGGAGATCTTGCGTTGGGGTTTGTAGTGTTTTTCCAACTCTCAGTTCAGTATTGGCAAGTTTGGCAGGAACTGAATAACTTCAAACCTGTCTCTGATCACTGATGCTGATTGAAAATAGTATTCCCAAAGCGGTCATCTGAAACTGAAAGCCTGCAGATAGAGCAGAGCAGACATGGCCTGAGTTTTTCTGAAGTGCTGTGGCAGTATGGGTGAGAATAGGTGATGGAAATGTCACACTAAAAGAAAAGAGTATGTTAAAAACATTGGCTTCCCCACCACCACCAGAGGGCCAGTTTTGTCAGTCTGTTGCAGCAGAAACAAGAAAGAATCATGTGGCATTTTGGAGACGAAATGTCACGATGTGCTTTATGCTGTAATAAATAGGTTAGTTATAAAGATGATCTAGTCACTTTATTGATCCTTCTTGGATGCCCAGTGCAAAGTACTGATTACTGCCCAGTGATCAGTACTTTCTTTGATGTTGGCCATCAGAGCCAACATTAGTAGAAGACAAAAGAATTCACAGAGCTAAACCTTAGTGAAGGGTGGTAGTCTTGAATGCCCAGTGCAAAGTACTGATTACTGCCCAGTGATCAGTACTTTCTTTGATGTTGGCCATCAGAGCCAACATTAGTAGAAGACAAAAGAATTCACAGAGCTAAACCTTAGTGAAGGGTGGTAGTTCATTGGATTTATTTATTAAGGCATATTTCGTAATAGATTTCTTAATTTAGAATATGATAGCTGACTATCCTTTTCTTTCTAACAAGTCCTCTTTGAAGTGGAACAAGTCATTATAATAATAATAATAATAATATAATTTATTGTCATTGTAAGTATATACACAGTATACCATACAACGAAATTCACAGACACCCAGAGACCAGACACATGCACACACATAACATTCCCCAAACACTCCCCACCCACTAGAAGTTATGAGCTCAGCGCTGCTTCCCTGCATAGATGGGGTCCTCTTGGCTCCAGTAATTGCATCCAGCTGTCACTGAAATAAATGATATACCTTCTTGCCAGATCTTTGTAGTGCTACAATTCAGGCTTCTTTTAACACATGCCTAGGAGGTTGTTTCTGAAACAATTTTAATAAATACCCTGGCCTATACTTGAGCAATGTTCTCCCTATATTTTTACAAAATTTATATAATGTCAGCTCATCCTGATAGCTGACTATCCTTTTCTTTCTAACAAGTCCTCTTGTTGAAGTGGAACAAGTCATTATAATAATAATAATAATAATATAATTTATTGTCATTGTAAGTATATACACAGTATACCATACAACGAAATTCACAGACACCCAGAGACCAGACACATGCACACACATAACATTCCCCAAACACTCCCCACCCACTAGAAGTTATGAGCTCAGCGCTGCTTCCCTGCATAGATGGGGTCCTCTTGGCTCCATTAATTTCATCCAGCTGTCACTGAAATAAATGCTATACCTTCTTGCCAGATCTTTGTAGTGCTACAATTCAGGCTTCTTTTAACACATGCCTAGGAGGTTGTTTCTGAAACAATTTTAATAAATACCCTGGCCTATACTTGAGCAATGTTCTCCCTATATTTTTACAAAATTTATATAATGTCAGCTCATCCTGTCCTTTGTGAGGGTTTTAATTAGTGAAGTACTCACCTTCCTTTCCCCTAGGGAAGCTTCAGATATGAAACAATGCTTGAACTTCTCTGGTTTCTAGCAACTTCGATTTTGTGTTTGCCTTTGAAAATGAATTTGGGTGGGTAGAGAATTAATTTTTTCCCCTGTTGTTTGATCCTTGACTCTAAATATTTTATAATTTTTTTTAAGTCCTGTCTTTCTCAAGATCTTTATGTGAGAAGCTTTGCTGCCACATCTCTCCTTAGAATTTCTTTGAATGCATATCAAATTACTTCTGGAGAAATCCCACAGCATTCATTGTTCTTAAAATAATTGCTGTATCAATTCTTCCATCTAAATCGAACTTGCTCAACAGTGATGATGTGGGGTCTGAAATCTAGATCTTTGCCTTCTTAGGTGTTTGTTAATATTGAACAGATGACCCTAGCACTGTCTGACCTTGTAGAAATTCCAGGTTCAAAGCCTCCTGCTAATGTTGTTCCTCCGTGTAAATGTAGTGTGGCCACTGGATTAAAAGTATGATCCATCTCTCTTGTATGTGTTCCTATCCATCTAGCACTATTAAAACGTACTTCACTTTAAACAAGGGCTATCAACAAAAGTATCAACTAAAGTATCAACTTGAACATGCTTCTTGTTTTCCCTTATTTTACATTTGGGCATGTATTGAGGCTGTGGCCAAAGATGAGGTTTTTATCATTCCTTTCACTAAAATAAAATTTCCCCTTATATATAATACTGAAGTTACCTGATACCGAAATAGAATCTCCCCTTGGGTTAGAAGATACTGGAGCTCAGAAGTGATTGCTCAACTCTTTTGCTTTCATTGACAGACAGGCAGGCAGAGCATTTGTTAATTCGTTAGGTGCAGTTCGTGCAGTTATGCAAACAGTGCTCTTGAAATTCAGTTGCCATAGTTAAGAAATCAGCTTACCTCAATTCACCTGTGTAAACTGCATTGTGTGTGTAACTGTGCAAAAGGAATAACGGCACATTACAAATTCTGATTTTGTTTCATCTCTTGGAGTGAAAACATTGGTAAGAAGAGGTTCTTTAGTCTTTGTAATGTGATCAGGTTTGAGTTTTGGCTAGACGCTTGTTAGGATTGCAGCTATTTTGTCATTTTATATGTATCAACTTCTTTTTTCAAAATGTACTTCTGGAACCGAACAGTAATTATGCATGTTTACACATTTTCATCCAATTGCTCTGCTGTTCTTTTAGTAAATACTAACACCAGTAAGATTTGTGTCATTACATGGTTAAGACTGTGTTTTCCACGTTTCCCTTTTAGATTTGACTTGGCCAACTGCAATCTAAATGATGAATTTGCAAATAAGATGAACCCTCATAATGTTCCTGATGTGGTAAGGTTCAAATATCAGTTTCCATTCAACAATCATTTGGGCCTTGTTCAATCAGCTTAATAGACCAAGAGTCTCAATCCTATGTTAATGCTGCTGCAGGCATAGGAAAATAGTTTCATATTGCCTGTTGTGGAATTTTGTTAGATTTAGATATTCGCTTTTCTTTTTCCTTTTTGGCCAGATTGTCTGACAAGCCTTATGCACATTCTTGCACACTTCATGCTCAGCAACATCTCACACCATCATTTGTTTTATCCCCTACTAGTTAGAAACCGTGTATCTTGTAAAGTCTCCCCATTTTCTGCACTCCCCACTCTTGTCTAGGATAAGAGAAAGCAGGGCTGTCAGTTCAGTGTTCTGTACAGCATTTAATGTAAGAACAGACTATATAATCACTGTGGCATCCCTCTAGACTTGGAAGGCTCACTACATCCTATGTTTTCCAGTATTTGCGCCCTTATTTCAAGAGTACTGTAGAGAGAGCTGTAGTGGTCCTGGTCAGAAATGGGGAAAGGTTTTTTATTTGGTTTTTTGTTTTGTTTTTGTTTTTAATACAATCCCACAGCTAGTTTGGCTATAGTCCAGCTTTACCCAATTAGCCTTACATGGCTTGGATTACTGAATGGTATTCAATATAAATTAGTAGTGCAAAATTTAAATGTTTTGTAGAGCTTCCCTTTAATCCTCCTTTTCCCTGGCTTATATATCTATGTTTGCTTGTTCTTATATACACTGTTACTTAATACTACTGTAATTCTTTTTCTGGCGGTGACAATTAAGTTATCTTGTATTATTTTTACAATAGGAAAATTATAATATTACATAAACCAAGGGTTTTGAACTTTTAAAGTCCTTTTGTCTCCCCACCCCATCATGGCCAGCGGTCAGTGATTTTGGGAGCTGTGTTTTGACTTCCAGTGGAGCAGCATTGTAGTGGGAGTTTCTGCCTTGTGTACCGAAACAACCTGGCCAGCTTTAGCTATTACACACCTTCCTTTTGTATGAAATGTGCTTTTCTGTTTCTGGCAACAAAGTGTCGAACATTTCCCTCTTCTCCAGTGCCTCTTGTGGTTAGTTATAAAAGTGTACAATTTTGTAGTTGCTTCAGTGGAGGCATTTACAATACCTATTTTAATTGAAACACTGGCTTCCTAGTATTTGAATTTTCTGGTGACGTTTCTCACCTCGTACTGTCCCCCTCCCCCAATAGGTACTGATTAAGAAGTGTTATGACCGCACTAAACGTCAGCACCGCAGGAACTGGAGACTGAAAGAATTAGAAAGAGACAGAGAGGACATGGATACAGAAGATGAAAGGTATGGAATTTTGCGTGTTGTGTTTCCTTGCCTCCCATTAAATCAGTTTATTCATACTTCTGTGAGGAAAGTAGGGTGGCAGGCAGAGAAGCAAGTTAGATTTCTAGACTCAAACTGAGGCTTACAACTACAATAAATCTGAAGGTGCCAAGTGCATGCCTTGGTAAATGTCCAAACTTACGGGCTTCACAGTGTGACTCTTCTTGATCCTATGTCACATTTTAATTTGGATCATCTTAGGGCTTCTGTGTCTACTGCTTACATTCTAACTGTTAGAGCAGTACGACAGTGGAACCAGTTACCCCAGAAGTTGGTGAGTGCTCCAACAGTGGAGGCATTCAGGAAAAACTTAGCTGATCACCTGGCAGATATGCTTTGCTTGTATTCCTGCACTGAGCAGGAGGTTGGACTTGATGGCCTTGTAAGTCACTTCCAACTTCACTTTTATATGATTTCTGTGATTCTCTAAACTAAATGTTCTTGTGTATATTCTTCCTGGTACATTTTTAAGGAACTTTGATGTAAAGCTTATGGTTTTAGAGGTTTTTCCTCAGCTTAAGTTGATCAACTGGAAATCTCTGTGAGAAATCCAGCAGACTCCTTATTATAAAGTGAGATGAATTAGATACCACAGATTTAGAAGTTGTAGGTTGAAATCCTGTTACTTAGCATAGTAACTTGTGTTAGAGTAGGGCCAGTGAATGAATCAGTGGAGATTTGTTCACTCTACAAGTTCCATTGAGTGGAAACTACTCAATGGAACTTGTAGTACAGTGGTGCCCTGCTTGACAATTACCTCGTTAGACGATGAAATCGCTTAACGATGTTTTTTGCGATCGCAAAACGATGTTTAGATAGGGAAAATTTGCTTTACAATGATCGGAAAACAGGAACCAATTTTTTGCTTTACGACGATCAGAAAACAGCTGATTGTTGGGTCTCAAAATGGCTCCCCGCTGTTTAAAATGGCTCCCCGCTGTGTTTAGGAAGGCTTTTTCGCAAGACAGGCACCGGAAAATGGCCGCCCTATGGAGGATCTTCACTGGGCACTGAGGTATTTCGCCCATTGGAACGCATTGAACCGGGTTTTAATGCATTTCAATGGGCTTTTTCATTTCGCTTGACGAGGATTTCATTCTACAGTGATTTTGCTGGAACGGATTATCTTCGTCAAGCGAGGCACCACTATAGTGCCATTCGAATTAGGCCCATGGAACTACTACTTGTAGTAGTTCCATGGCCCTACTTTAGTTGCAACTTAGTGTGCTAAAGTAAGTTGCAGCTAGAGTCAACCCCGTTTGAATTAGCGAAACATACAGAGGGGTTGACTCACTAAATCCCCACAGTTTCGATGGGCTTATTCTGCTCCAACTTACTATGCTAAGCAATATATCCATATGCCTTTCATTGTGTTATGCTTAGATTTTTGAATGGTATACAATAAAATCAATGTAATGGAACTCATTACATTATAAAAGCAGTTGTTAGCTCTGTGCTGGAAGGAAGGAAAGAAACAACTATTTCTTTCTTTCCCACAGTGAGGGGCAACAGTTTAAATCAGAAAATTAGAATGAGATGGGAAGAGTAACGCTTGAGACAGTACTCATCTACATTACATCTGTCTCAGTCTTCATCCATATTCTGATTTTGAATTAACTCAGATTTTCCGTCACACTTCAATTTTCTGGAGTAGGAATTGGATGTTTATATAACTGATGTAGGATCAATGTTTAGGGCGGAAATTCTTAGTTTCTGTATGCATATTAGTGACAGAAAATGTACATAATTTGTAATAACTGAATTGCTATTTTTTATAATATAATAATTTTATAGACAATACCAAGATTTCCTAGAGGATCTAGAAGAAGATGAGATAATTAGAAAAAATGTCAACATCTATAAAAGTAAGTTTTTGTACCTAAAAACTTGATTTTTTCATGTATTGTAAATGTGAGAAATATGGAATCTTTACAGTGTTGTCTACCATTCTTCTCCTCTATATGTCATCTGATAGTTAATATATGTTTGCCAATAATTTCCTTCCTTCCCTGTGTTTGTTCACTATCCTCTTTGAAGCTAGCTGCAGTTAGATGGCTGCTCATCATAATGTCTGTATATTACCACCCAATACTAGAGGTAATACATTTCTCAACACCAGCTGCTGAGAAGGATTAACAAAATGGTACTGTAGCATTCATGTCCTGCTTCTGAGCTTTCTATAGGGATCTGATTGGCCATCACAGGACTAAATAGATCATTGGTCTTCCTGAACACTGAGGTACTATGCCGCACTGCTAAAATACCACATAGTTGTGCTGGAATAGTACACTGCTTGGTTTGAGTTACAGAGCAGGCTGTTCACCAACCCTGAAAGTGGACAATGTACTTAATGTACTGCAGGGATTGAGCAAGGAAAGAGAAGGATCTCCCCCTTGTAAAAATATGCAAATCCACAGCTTTACAGGGTTCCATTCGATTCTGCACTTTTATTGATAAAATCATGTTTTGGAGGTCTTATTTTGCTTTTTGTTATTCTAGATCCAGTCATTCCGGTGGAAAGTGACACAGATGATGATGGTATTCCCCAGATTAGCCTTGCTGAAATGTTGGAGGATCTTCAGATATCTCAGGATGCTACTGGAGGAGAGGGTGCTGATATGTTGACAGAGTCATAATGTCTGTATAAGTTAATAGATCTTACTAATGTGACTGTTCTTCTCTACAGAAAAACAGTCACAACTAAAATCTGTTATAGATCACACAAAGTTAGGCAGATAATCTTGAATTCTGATGGAAAGAATAATTACTGATTAATAAATTAAAGGATTATGTGTTTCAGAGTGCTTGTAATTTTCTAAAACCTTAAGTAGTTATATTTGCATCCATAATACCAGTTCCTGTATTCAGTGCTTTGGACCATTTGTATGTGATGAAGGCTACTTATAGGAATCATTCTCATATACTCTAAGCTACTCTTCAGAGAAAAAGGACCAGCCACACATTTAGCAGTTGTGTGGAGCTAAGAAACAATGAATATGAAAAGGCTGGATGGAACTTACCTTTCTCTGCTATCTTGCAAAGATGATGGAACTGCTATGGGTCCCAGATTAGAACAGCCTTTGTGAGCAAAAGGCAGCCTCTAGCTGTTGCTGTCCCACAACTCCCATCAGCTATACCTAATGTAGGCAGTAATGAGGAGCACTTTGGAGTTGCAGTTCTGCAGTATCTAGATAGCTAAGTCCCCGCTTGGTATAGCTGAAGAAAGAGAGAGATTCTTAACAGTCAGCATCATCACATAATTGATGCAGACTTGTCACACTGAGTAGAAAGGCCATCTGAGAAATCTATATGTATAGTTTACTTGCTAGAAAGAGTTGCAGCAGTCACTAACAGCAAAAGCTTTTAATTTTGTCATAATAGCCATTTACTATATATAATACAAGAAATACCTTAAAACAAAATTACACTGAAGACACTGGTTAATTTTCTTTTTGGCAAGGTGCTTTTGACAGCTCTGAACGCCAGTTATTATCCTAATGATAAGTATGGATTTTATAAGTTAACAACCATCATAAAGTGTCAGTTAGTAGGTCTTAATAATGTTTTCAGAACTGTCGAAAACATCAGTCTTAAATTTTCTATCCAACATCCGTTTATGGCATACTGCCCCCCTCTATAATGACGTGATGAATACTTGCAGAAACAAGTTCTTTATTAGAGCAACATAACTTCTTGAAGAGCCAACAGAGCAACGCAACAAAACCTGAGCACTTTAGGGCACCAGAGAGTTGACTTCACTTACAAAGTCTCTTGTGGAGGAGGGAAACTCTTTAGAAGTGTTTCACTGGGAGGAGTGGAGCCCTGATTCTTCTACCAGTTACAGGACATCTCACTGGTGTGCCAGACATAGAGTCCTGAAACTTGGGTCCTATATGCACATAGTCAGCTGTCCCTGGAGGTGAGTAGCAAAGGCTCCTTCTGCCTGTGTAGACCCCACCAGTGGTCCTCAACCAATAGGAGTGGTAATCCTCTCGAGAGGCACAGCTAACCTTGGACCTGGCGGGGCTCTCTGGTGTAGGTGGTGCAGAAGGAGGTACAGGAGGAAGGCCACCTGACTGGTTGTGGAGAGGCTGACTGGGAAGTCTCTGCTGCAAGGCTGCTTGCCTCTGTTGCTTCCTTTACAAGTGGTGTGTCTGTCTCTGGTTTTCAAGCCTCATTGTCTGGCCTCATCTCAGCAAACCTGGGCAGTCTCCCTGGGTTGCACCAGCAGCTCAATCCAATGTCCAGTGTTGGGATCACGGCAGCAGACGGTCTCCTAGTCAGCCATCACCAGTCGGGCAATCACAGTACCTCTTGGGCCTTGAATGCCTCCTAGTCCACAGTGTCTGCTCTACAGTCCTCCTCACTCTTCCCCTTAATTTCTGTCTTGGCTATCACTATACCTATGGCCTCGAAAGCATCGTCCGCAGCCCACGAGTGAATTGCAGGTCTGGTATCTGACTCTCGGGGAGGTGGAGAGCCCACTCTCAAGGGCACGGGGATCATCACCAGTCCCACACATACCTATTTAAATTTGTGGTACAGTCCTCTGTAATAAGAGCAAAAATTGTTCCTCTGTGTTTGTGTTCACTAAGACGCTCATCATTTTGATCATGTAGTAGTTGATACTCCATGAAATGTCTTGCATGACATAGTTACAGTAAGATTAGTGTTACCCACACAAGTAGAAACAAACCAATACAACTGAGGTAAATATAAGCCATTATGCTTTGATTTGTTGTATAAGGAATATGCACATATTTTATGAAGTGTTTCAACTGGTTTGTAAATAGGCAACTAGGAAGTCTTACATCTCCCGAAGAGATGTAGGCCTGAATACAGCTTTTAGAACATTAATGCAAGGTTAAATGTGTAGGCAATCAGATTTCACAACTGTTTCTTCAGTACAATAACGTTAAGTAATCAGATTTCACAGCTATTTCTTCAGTACAATAATGGGATAGTATTGCGGCTATATTAATGAAGACAGAAAGGCAATGGTTTTGTTTTTTTTAAAAAAACTATTCGAATGTATACTTCTCTGTCCTCAATTAAGCCAGTTCTTGTGTTATAGTAGGAGCAAAACTACAGTTTTAGGTCCCATTACAGCATCTGACGGGACGTGGTGGCGCTGTGGGCTAAACCCCAGAATCCTGTGCTGCAGGGTCAGAAGACCAGCAGTCGTAAGACCGAATCCACACAATGGAGTGAGCCCCCGTCGCTTGTCCCAGCTCCCGCCAACCTAGCGGTTTGAAAGCATGCAAATGCGAGTAGATAAATAGGGACCACCTCGGTGGGAAGGTAACAGTGTTCCATGTCTAAGTCGCACTGGCCATGTGACCACGGAAGATTGTCTATGGACAAACGCTGGCTCTATGGCTTGGAAACGGGGATGAGCACCGCCCCCTAGAGTCGAACACAACTGGACAAAAATTGTCAAGGGGAACCTTTACCTTTACAGCATCTGACTCTAATCTAATTTCATTCTTCCTGTGCCTCCATGTTCTCAGAGCTGCATGAGAGGGAAAAAATCATGCTCTTCTCCTTTTTGCAGACATAAAGTGCATGTCTAGCTGGGGTACCAACTTCTGCTCTTTATACTGCCTTTCTCTTACACTGCTTCACCTTTTTAGAAAGATGTTTTAGCTGAAAGTATGGTTTGCTTGTATCAAGAGTGGGCTAATCCCAGAGGTCTGGAAAGTACATATAAGGGCTACACCAATTCTCAAGCTTTCACCCCGCCCACAAAAATATTTTTCTCATGTTTTAATTAAAATGCTTTTGTACTCTCTAGGAGCTGCCGGCAGCAATGTTATTGCTGTTTCTGACCTGTTCTGGTGACTTTTAGTTTTGAAGATACCTCCCTACTCTAAAATGGGGAGGGGTAGCAAAATTCTCTAATTGACACTAAGGAATGCTTTGAGCGGGCCCCAGTTTAAAAAAAAAAACTCTTGAGGGGGGCCTGGTGGGTGCATTTGGGTTGAAGGGTATGCATGCAGCCAGTAGGCTACACTTTGGTCATCCTTTCTTCAGATGAGTCCAGTGTATTCTAGGATGACAGGGAATTGCCCTGTTTTTGAATGGCTCATTCCACAGTTGCCTGATCTACTTTATTTTCATTAAAATTCCTGTGATACGAAAGTGGTGTGTAAGACCAGACCAGAGTCCTCCTGCTTTAGTATTTACAGCAGCTACAGCAATTATTAGATGTACTGGCTAATGCATAGTCCACTCAATTTGCTCACCCAGTATATAGCATCCTGTTGGATGATTTATTGAAATAGGAATAGTTATGTTCATAAAGATGCCAGTAGTGAAAATCTATCTCTGCATCTGCTGTATGACATTTGGAGGCTGACTATTCCAAACTGAATATGTGAACTGCACAGTTTAGTAACATCCGTAAGTTCCCAGTTTTAAACATTAAGTGTTCCAGTTACAGGACTTTAGATAGGAGGGCTGTGGGAAAACCTGTATCAGATCTTGACAGAAACATGAGATGAGAGAGCACTGGCAAGAAAGACCGATAGTTTAACTCAAGAGCAGCTTCATATGTTCATAATCCCTAAAGTGCTGCAAAAAGGCGAGGAGGGACAATTAAGATAAGCCAGGTAAACAAGGATATGTTTTAGAAACTGAATATTTTTCCTGCATTTTTCCCAGGTGAGGATGGTAATAGGATGGCTGCAGCTATTAAATTTCTGTCTACGGGGAAGACTTGTTGGGGAAAAACAGATGTGGCAATCATACTGTGTGTAATTTGCCAGAAAGGTATTGCATGCAAATGCTGTAGTTTCACTGCCTCAGCCACTCCTTCTGTAGTATCTGGAACACTTTTGTACAAGCTGTGAAGTATTAAAATTTTATTGGAGTTTAAACAATAAATACAGTTTATTTAGTCGTAACACTTAAAAGAGACTATTCCTGTTTCACCTCCCTCTCTCTTAAAAACTAAGAGAGCCATTCACCTACTGTTTTCAGAAAGAAAATGCATTGGTAGAATATTATAAGGGCTCATGCAAAGCTGAAAGCGAAAAGTCTTTATTTTCTGTAGTGCACATTAGCTAAGAGATAAAAGCAGTAGCTAGTAGCTAGTTTCTGGGAAGCTGAATTGCTCATGCACAAATAACTAACTGCACACATTTAAAAACAAAAATCTAGAGATGCTAGTGGTTTTGTTTGCGAGGTGCTGGGAAGACAGGGAGGCCAACAACTTCTGTATTAAACTGAATAGATAGAATAAACTAGGAACCATGTTGCCTGTACCCCTGAATTCCAAGCTGTTCACACTCTTCTCACCGTTCATGATGGTCCACATAATGCAGCTAGGGGCTGTGCACACATAGAATCATCTACCTATATTAAGCACTGGCCAGAACTGTAATGGAGTTCGAAGCCACAGCATACCTAAGTTACACAAACAAGATGTGCCCTAGCACTGCATAAAGTAGCTGTGAAAAAATATGCCAAATTTAAACTAACACAAATAGGATTCTGGTCACTGATGTCATCATATTAGGCAAAAACAAAAGGAAAATTTAAAAATAAAAAAGGCAAAAATGTTGCAGCACTTTAAAGAATAACTGCAATTTTTTAATGTGAGCTTTTATGGACAAATCCACTTCCTCAGTCTGTTGAGGCAACCCTATTGAGTAACATATTATGTACAAATTACATTGTAAAGTTAACATTCCAGTTTCCACTTGCAGATCACATTTCCTCTTTGGGAGTAACCACAGTTTAATGGTAGAGCACCTGATTCGCAAGCTCTATTCACCTGTAAACACAAGTACGGTAAC